AAAACGCTTTAGTCTTCATTAAATGGACTGGTATTTGTATTTTTCTTTTTTTACCGAAAAATCCAAAAACCTGCTTAATAAAAGAAATCGTTACTACTATCTATAGCTTATGAAATATATCGGTTTGTTCCTTTGTCGAAATGAAATTTTTGTAATACCAACAAGAATATCTGAGAAGAAACAGTTACTATTTTCTTGTTCTTTAAATTTCTAATCTTCATTCATAGAAGCGTGTATGAGTAAGTTTAATGAATTTCCCCTGCATAGAAGTTTAATCGCCCTATTGAATTATGGAAATTTTCAACATTGCGACAGCACTTTAGATCTTACGTTTGGCTAACTTAGTGTAAGCCTAAGTCATAAGAATGTTTGTTTAATGATAGCATAGTCAATTTCTAGTTTATAAAATACTGGCAATACAACTTAACACTATAAGTATTGCAGTTAAATAAAATATTCCATTTGAAATATGTACTTTTCTTTTAATGCTGAGGTTGTAATAAAAAAAAAAACTTGCGTGGAATGGGTAGAGTTTAGGTTGTGAAAAATGTATAAATATAATTCAAACAGAAATACGCTAAGAAAAAAATTAATTAATATAAGCAAACAACCAAATCATTGGTAGGTTCAAACTTATTAGAATTCTGATGTCTCACTTACATTCAACATTCCCAAACATTGCAGTTTTCTTATTGATAATCTGGAAAAACAAAACAAAAACATGACTAAGTAAAAAACGTTTTCTTGACACATGAAATATTCAAATATGAATTCTTTCTTCACTATTATAAATCCGATTTTGGGAATATAAGTAAAGCTGTGGAAATAATTATATAAGGAATTCATTCTGAATAAATAACCATTCTGTATCTAACAGTTGCAGTAGAAATACTTTCTTCTAAACCCCATACAATAAAATGTGCCGAAGTAGTGTTTATGCAAATTTTTCATTTGATTTGTAAATTTCTTGTACAACTTGTAGTGATTTGAAAAAGCAACTCGAGAGAAAAAGCCTAAAAAGACAATCATCTCGCAACTAAAAATACTTCACACAATTATAACGATCTATAAAATATCAAAAATAAAATTCACACAATTCTGTAATTAGAAAAAGTAAAATGACCTCTTTGTTTGGTTGTTGTTAAATACAATGCTACACAAGGGGCTATCTATGCTCTTCTCACTACCGGTATCAAAACCTGACTTTTAGCGTCGTAAGCCGGCTGATTTACCGCTGAGCCACTATGGGAGGAAGGAGCTATATAAAGGACGGCTTCTGTTATTTAACATCAATACTTTGATTTACATTTATTACAAAAATCAATCATTATTGGCATATGTCATTTGAAACTAAGAATAATAATCTACAAATTATGGTACATTCGAAAAATAGCTGTATCGGAATCAAATATGTTGACATATTCCTACATGGTGATACAGACTGCACTATCCTTTACTAACGGTTCTTGTTAATTGTTAATTCAGTCTTCTGTGTCATACTTGCATACAGTGATGGCAAACATGGAGTGATATCTGAAACAATTTTATTGCCCTTTTCAACAATGTTTGATTATTGTTGAAAAACATATGAAGTGGACGTTTTTGATGTGCATTAAATATCTAAAGTAACTTCTTTCAGTGCAAAGATATTTTACAGAATTGAGGAAAAACAAAACAATTGTACGTTTCACAAATACATTAGTTATTACGACCATGGTTTCGCCAGTAAAGGCATTATCGTGGTCGTAATAAATGAAGTATTTGTGAAGCGTACAATTGTCTTGTTTTTCCTCAATTCTGTAATTATGAAATATCACCAAGTACCGACAGTTTCAAGTATCAACCTATATATATATATTATTTATGGCGAATTCTCAATAATTCGAAGAATCAATAAAATATTGTAATTTATTACTGCTAATGTTGAAATACTGATACAAAAGTTATGACATAACGTTTTGAGACAACATGGGACCTATTGGCCCATCTTGGCTCTTCCATCCTCTAAACTAAACTAAAAACCTTTAATAAATAAATTTAAATAAACAGCTTAAAGCTAGCCCTTATCACTCATTTACTTATCAAACTTTCTCTTGAACTCACTTAAATTTACTGCCTCCACAATATCCGAAGGCAGCCCATTTCCGAGGCCAACCACCCTAGTCCTACTATTCTCACTGTTAAGTATGAAAAAAGATGATGTGTCAACAATCCCTTTACAATCTTAAACACCACAAACAGTTCCCCTAACTCTTATTTTTTCAAGAGAAAAAAATTTGAGAGATTTCAACCCCTCCTCGTATGACAACTCCTCTATCCAAGGCACCATTCTAGTAATCCTTCTCTGAACCCTTTCCAACAACTCAGTGTCTTTCGTAAGGTAAGGAGCCCAAGACTGAACACAATATTTCAAATGTGGCCTAACCAGTGACCTGTACAATTAAATTATAACTTCTTTAGGTATTCAATATTTCTGTAGATATAACCTAAAATCCTATCTGCCCTAGCACTAACAACAGCACACCGCTTAGGTAGCTTCAGAGATTGATCAACTATTACACCAAAATACCATTCTTTCATGACACTGTTAAGATTATTCCCATCCAAATTATACTTATAATTCAAATTATGATAACCCCCATGCATTATCTTGCATTAATTATAATTAAAACCCATCTGCCATTTATTTGCCCAACTCATTAAACTATCTAAATCCTTCTGTAAATCACCAGCATCTTCTTAACAGCTAGCAACACCCACAACCTTAATATTATCTACAAATTTAAGTAATTTATTAATCATTCTGTCATCTATGTCATTGATATAAATAAACAAGAGCAAAGGTCCTAAGACTGAGCCCTGAGGTACCTCACTTGTGACAATAATCCAGTTTGACTGAACCTCATTTACAACAATCCTCTTCTTTCTTCCGTCCAGTCACTCTTCTATCCAATTAGCTAATTTATCTCCCACATCTATAGGGATAATTTTTTCCAAGCCTCTTATGGGGCACCTTGTCAAATGCTTTCTGAGAATCCAGATACATCAAATCTACACTATAACCCTCATCTACATAAGCAGTAACCTTTTCAAAGAATGGCAAAAGATTTATTAGGCAAAATTTTCCCTTAGTGAAACCATGTTGACTATCCAATAAAATTCTAAAATTTGTTAAATGACTTTGTAAAGTATCTTTTATCCGATTTTCCAAAACTTTACCAACAACTGATGTAAGATTAATGAGTCTATAATTAATGGGACAATTTTTATCACCTCCCTTGAAAAGAGGAGTTACATTAGCTAAGTTCCAATCCTCTGGTACATGCCCACTATTCAAGGACTGACAAAAACATTAGCAAATGGCTCACATATCCAACCTTTAACCTCTTTCTAAGCCATTGAAGAAGTATAATCTGGCTTAAGAGCCTTATCGTTCTTTAAACTTCTCATTTTTTTCTTAACCAGCTGAGAATTAATGCAGTCATCTTGTTCGATCTTGTTTTCATCTATCAACTGCTCAAGATGTGGAATACTACTTTAACCTTCGTTAGTAAAAACCAAAGAAAAGTCAAAATTTAATAACCCAGCCATCTTATAATCATCAGATACGAACATTCCTTTATCATCCCTCAAGAATCCTACCGCCATCCTAACACTTTGTTTACCCTTAATTTATAGAAATCTTTACTGTTAGTTTTTACATTTTCAGCCAACCTTTTCTCATACATTCTTTATGATGTTCTAATTTCCTGTTTCACCAACTTTCTTGATCTTCTATAATCTTTTAAATCTCCTGTCATACCAGTCAATTTAAATTTCTTAAAATTTATTATGCTTTTCTTTAATTTTATCTCATACTCTTTATGAACCAACCTGGTTTTTTAATTGTAGCTACCGTTTTCTTTCTATAAGGAATATGTTTATCTTGAATATTTAAAACTTATCTTTAAAAATTTTCCACATCTGATCAGTGTCTTCAAATAACTCAGCTGCCCAATTCACAAGAGATAATTCTTGTCGCACCCTCTCAAAATGTGCTTTATTTTTAAATTTGTAACAAAAATATAATTATTTCTTATTTCCATATGCAGCAAAACATTGAACCTAATTGAGCAATGATCACTTGCACCCAGATATTCCCCAATTTCCACTCTCCCGATCATTCCTATATTTGAAGTTAACAAAATATCATTGTTTCTAGTAGGTTCCTTGACTAATTGGTGAAGAAAGACATCTTGAACAGTTTCCAAAAACCTTTTTCCCTCACGGTTTGACTCTAGCATTTCCCAATCTACATGCTTGAAATTAAAATCACCCATAATTATGACTTCATTAGCAGTTGAAATCTTAATCTCATTTTAAAGTTTCTCACTAATTTTTTCAGTATCATTTGGTGGTCTGTAACAAATTCCCACTAAATGCCTTTTCCCTTTATGTTCACTAATAGAATTCCAAATGGATTCAATCTCCTTGCTATTATCTTTTATATCCTCAACTTCATCAGGATGTAACTCACATTTTCCATATAAAGCCACTCATCCCTTACATTTAATCACACATTTGATCTTGCTGTTTTTAATGTAGTCCTTCCTTTTGGGTCCACCGGTGGGTCAACAGTAAGCATACGAAATTACAACGCTAAAATCCGGGATTATATTCCTTGCGGTGAGCACAACAGAAGGCCCATTGTGGTTTTGCGCTGAAACAAACAAAACCATCCTTTTGATGTAAATATTAACTTAACTGTTTACACAATGTTATGTTTGCATTACATATATACATATATAAATAACAATATTATAGTATTTATTGCATATTTTACGTTATCATAAGTAACTCTAAAGATATGAACAAAAAAGGAATTTTATCAAAACTGTTTTAAAACAATTATATAATTATCGCTATGTGTTTTTTCGCAATCAAAATTTGAGAAGCGACAGAGGGCACATAATTAATTTCAAAGACATGTGATTGAGGTTGGTGTTGCCCTAGATATTTTGTTAGTCTTAGAAGTTAGACGTAGGTAGTGCTACCAATTAGCAGAAGCATTTGAATAAAAGTGAAAACGCTACTCTTGTTAGAAGTTACAAATAATTTTATATATGCATTACTTAATTCGTATTCTTTATAAATTATAGTCCGAGGATTTTCAAGAGTTATCAACAAACAGTGACTACTGTACTGGCACTGAAGTAGACTACTACCTTGAATTTGAAAGTTGTAACTGTAAAACTAAAAGTGTAAGTTGAAGAACTACTAGTACTAGTAGACTGCGAAGTTTTGTAACTAGTACCACTACTTCTACTGTTATAACTTGTAATTAGTCTTATAAGTATAATAGCAGTTATTAGTATATTTATTATTAGTAATTTACCAGCCGAGCATAATCATCATTTGTATCACTAACACAGTAACAATTAGGTTTATTCTGCAGTGACACTGATACTATTACTAGTGATAATGCAAGTTGTACTTGTAAGTTGTATGATGCTAGTGCTACTTTGCTAGCTGATAAGTATATCGGTCCTAGTATGAGTATCATGCTGTATCATGTTTATGTGACAAACCATTGTAAAGTCATATAACTTATCACAATTCATGCCTAGAGTCTTGTCTCTTAGATGAACTTGTATTGTTGTAAAACTATATTGCCACTGTGCATGAACTTGATGAAAACCAAAACTTTAAGATGGCTTTGAGAGTGTAAACACATATGGCCCATAGATTTACCCAAAAACATAAACAAAAATTATTTTTAAAGTATATCCCAAAGTTTTAGCATGTTTCTTAAATACAAACCACTATTTTCTTAATACTTTATTTAAAGAAAATTGAGTACCCCTGACCTCTGTCTTATTTATTCCCATAGTAAGCTTCACAATGTGCTCTACTTTCCTATTTTTTCACTTTTTTTTTACTTTTAGGTAAAAATTCATATTTTTTCCTGCTTTAAAAAATAAGGAAAGTTACATTCTTGGTACAACTCAACATAAAATACAAAACTTGTGAATGTAGTCAAACTGCCTCTAATATTAACTTTAAGATAGTGTTTTAGAATCTAGTAGTTTGCACAAGTTACAGCTTCTTGTTTGCATCTGAGACAGATACTTTCTTTTGCAATATGAGAAAATTATTTTATCTGCTCTCTGGTAAGTGACTTTAGAGTAGGGTGATCCTTATTTCTAAATTTGAAGTTTTGATTTACAATACTCTGGCCCCCTCATTTTGTTCCAATATATAAATAAGTAATTCACACCAAGTTTTATTCATGTTGAGTAACACTAACATTTAGGGGTAGCTCAAGTTAGTTGAAATTTTACCTTGTAGCTCATTGTATTTACATTCCATGTATGATTAATCCATGTGGCAATTTTTTACTACTGTAACATTCTATATGACATGATAGTAGTTTCTAGAATTTCTACAAGATAACTTCAGGTCATCCAACGTAGAGACAATTATCAAGAGCTTCTTGAATAAGCCACAACCTTTCTTGGTGGAATCCCTCCTAGTGTAGTGCAATTTATAGAACCTAGTGCATTGTATCATGCATGATGGATGGCCAAGGCATTATATGCCTCAAGATCTAGATGTTTATGAGACGGTTTAAGCTCACTGGCCATGAGGAAAGATAACTCTGTGACATTGCATCTTTGTTGTTTGAGTTCACCTGAGGGCATGATTCACTGCTCCCAATGCCATTTCTGCTCCTTACAATATCTTAACTTCCTACAATGTGTTAAGTATAAGAAGATGAATTTTGCTCCTTCAAAATCTGCCTGTAAAACATTTGCTGGACATTTTGGTATCTCCTTGAGAAACTCATTGGTTTGGCATTCTTTGATTCATCTGTATTTACAGTGACAAAACAAGCAATGGTAAAGACACTAAATGAGGAAGGCAAGGATTCTTGATGTTGGACATCCTGGAACTTTGCCCTCCCACAATGCAATATCAGCATAGCCACTGAGGCAAAGGGGAAATGTTATTCATTCTATACACTTCTTTGCTGTCTAGATTCATATTTGTTGTTCCAAACCTGCAAATATGGTTAAGAGTTGTTGTGTATTCAGTTGCACCAATAACAAGTCAAAGACCTTAACGTCCCCATTTATTTGATACCCAGTCAAGCTACTGCAAAGGAGAGAAGCCAAGACCAGCCAGGTCCACTGACAAAAAGAAAAATCATCGACAAAATACTCCAACAAAAGGGCCTTAACAGGGCCAGGCAATGATCTATAAATCCAAATACCAAAATTCAAATGCACAAAAAGAGAGAAAAGAGTGTTGTAACTAAAAGCTATCAACTGTGGAACACTGGAAGCAACAGGAAAGCTGTGGGAGCCAAAGTCTGACTATAATTATGTGTGTTAAGCTCATTTTATATCACGTAAATGTTGTCTTCTGATTTTTTTAACACAAGGTAATTGTATACATCCGGGTACTGCACACTGGGCCATTATGTCGGGTCGTTGATCCACGAATTGACATAGTGCTGGTAGGGACAAGAATCAAGACCAATTAATTGTAACTTTATCTCGCCAATGCCTTAGCCTACAACTTCCCATGTATTGATAAGACATTGCAATTGATAATTTGACTATCAAACAATCATATATGAATGATAATTGAAGAATTTGCACAACAACTTTAGCACTAACACGTGTATAGATAAATTGTGTACATGCAGCTTTACTCACTTTGCTATTGTTTTCCCCTTTGTCAAAATGGCGATTGCATTACCAGGCAAAATCATGTGACTGTAACATCGTGCCGACCTCAAGAATGAACTTCCAAAACACATCCAGTTCAATATCAGGAAGTCTGAGAATATTTCAGTTTAAGAATTCATAACAAAGAACACAACAGACTTCTACAGGTGCCTCAAAATTCCATCTAGATTTCTGGATAATGACCCAAGTCATAGGATCTCCGACAGGACTATATGGAATCAGTACAGACAGTTCAGCACTTGAATATGGTAAAGGACAATGCTTAAAGGAGTGTGGCTCTTATTGAGGAGTATAATGCCATCATAGCAAGGAAAGAACAAAAACTATTACTCCCTCAAGCTGTGCAAGATATTAGAAGATGCTTTCCTAACAGAAAAAGGAAACAATAATGTAAAAGTAATTAACCACTCCAAAAATCATATAATTATGTAATGATAGTATTGTATATGAATAAAATAGCATACTTTAAGTAAATAATTTATAATACATAAATAGTTTTGTATCACGTTGTACAGATGATACCAGGCCACTGTAGTATAGAACTTCAACCTCATTGAGCAACCTCCAATATGGTCCAAAATGGATGAAGTTTTACATTTAATGTTGTTGTTTTTTTGTACACTGGAACAAAATTAGGGGGTGAGAACTTTATAATTTTTAACCTGAAATTTTAGCTACAAATAGGGACCACTCTAATGTAATGAACATTACTTCCATCACTATGAAGAATAACTGAGAGATGATCAAATGCTCCTTTACTTCAGTAAACTGAGTTTTAAAGTTCAAGCATGTGCACCAGCTTCTGTGAAATTGTGCTTCTTGTCATGCATAGTGTTTGTCTAAGCTTTAGATACATGCCATTTGATTTTTGTGTGCATGTATCTGTCAGTTATGTCCTGAAATAAATGAAATGCTGCGTGGGTAAACACAGTTTCAACATCAGTAATTGGCCTGCCAAGACAGTAAGGAACATGATCTTTCATGTTTGTGTCAGTGATTGCCAAATGACCAATTTCATTATTTCTGTTGCATTTGTTAAAGGGCAGTAGCTTGTGGTAATAGTAGCAAACTAACTTGAAACTGAGAAATGGTGACATTTAGATCTAATTGGAAAAAAATGTTCAACATAACATAGAGTGGAAACATCCAGCAGCAGTACATTTTCTACCAGTAATAATTCACTTTTTGCCAGTTCTTGCTCATCCAGTGCAGTGTTTAATGGTTCTATGTTACTTCAAAGCCTTGCTCTGGATGGCTGTGATAAAGTTGATAATTTTATGAAAACATGCTGATAAGTCCCCTACTGTAACAAACATTCACTTGAAATTTTAAATACATAAACATGATAAGTTTCTCAATTTGAAATAATGTTGTCATTAAACTAGTTTTAATACTAGAAATAGCTGATGTAAGAGACTAAGATTAGTGATAAAGAAAGACTTAGTATTTTGATTTGTGTTTTAAAGGGGGGAAAAAATCTTTAAGATTGGCTTCATAAAATGAAGTATTCAATTAAAAAGTTTTACAACTTAAAAGTATATTTTATGTTATATTACATTGTAAAAAAGGAACAAATTTTGAATAGGAATATATATATTTCTAATATTTTAATATTTAAAAAAAATTAATTACTCTGATTGAAAGCATGTACAAGCATTGAAAATAATAATTTACCCTTTTGATACTTTAAATGTATGACATGACATAAAATTAAAAGAAAATAAGGGACCTATTGTTCTATTCAGGCCATCACATCCACTACAAAAGAAAAATTCAAAGCTAGCCTTCATCATTCAAATATTTATCAAGATATCCCTTGAATTATCTTAAATTTACTGCAGGTGACTCATTCCAAAAGCTAACCACCCTTTTAGAAAAATAAAACTGTCTTGGGTGATAAAGATTCCTACCCTGCAAAAGTTTATATTTCTGTTCCCTAGTCCTACCATTTTCACCATTATGTATAAAAATGGATGATGCATCAACAATATCAATTCCCTTAACAGTATTATACACTTTAATCAAATCCCTTCTAATTCTTTTTTCAAGAGAAAACAATTTGAGATTTAACCTGTCCTTGTATGACAACCTTTTCCTCCCAGGTACCATCATAGTAGCCCTCCTCTAAACCCTTTCTAGTAATTCAGTGCTCTTCCTAAGGTAAGGAGTGCAAGACTGAACACAACACCAAATGTGGCCTAACTAGTAACCTATGCAATGAAATGATAGCCTCTTTAGACTTAAGTTTTTGTTGTCATGTTCGATTTAAACACTTGACATCTTGAAGTAAAGCATTCAAAACTGTATAACATATTCCAAATATGATTTTACTGTTTAATTTTTGTTTTAGGTTCAAACTTTCTATAAATTAATAATTTGATCTGCTCATTTTATATCATTAAACAGTTAGCAGAGGGCCTTAGTTTTGTTTTTATGGTACCAAATGCTTCTCTCACATAAAAAACAAGTCCTTTCCAAATTTCCAGTGTAAATAACTTTACACTTCTTAATGTTAAAACTCATCATCTGCATTTGTACTTTTACTCATTAACCCTGTTCAGATAGCTCACTTTTCAAAGTCTTTTTTTTTCAGCTGACCTAATGCATGGTGTACTGGAATTGAAACATGTTGTCTGTTTTTTAATAATTGAAGAAGTTACACAGTCAGATAAATGCAATGTATTGTAACCATGAGGGTTTTGATGGTTTTACGTGTTTCCCACTATTTCTCTGGCTCGTATGGACTTGATTCCTAGCATGTAAAATTTTTCAATAGCTATTTTCAGTCACAAGCTGGAAATGCTCCACAAATGTTTGTTTTAGCTATTTATTGAAAAACAAACCTGAGTAATACCACCTACTTATTTGTCATTTGTAGGCAGAATATCAGAGTAAAATTACCTCAACTGCTGTAAAAGAAAGGCATTTTCACACACTATCTACAAATAAACCTTGCTGGTGAATGAATAAGCATAGATATTTATGCAGGATTGTCTTTCTTTCTTAAGACAAATGTGACACGCCCCTCAGTGGCACAGTGGTATGTCTGTGGAGTTGCACTGCTAGAAACTGGGTTTCGATACCTGTGGTGGGCAGAGCACAAATAACCCTTTCTGTAGCTCTGTACTTATCAACAAACAAACAAATGTGACTCGGGCTTTGGGCACTATTGTATACATTATATAATATTTATCTGTTTACTGTAAAAGTGTTTTCAAAAGGGTTAAGTTATTTAAAAAAATTTGAAATGAGACGTCTGATATTAATTTACTACTGTATTTCCAAAGAAAAATTGCATTATTAATAAGTCCATACCATGAAAATGATCTCTGACCAATGAAATGTAAGAAATTGGCTGTTGTGAAAAAAAAATTGGGACTTATTGTTTCCTTACATAATTTCAAATGTTTGTCATTATAGCCTAATTAATATTAAATCTGAGTGTACAGTTGGTCTGGAATTCTGAATATGTAATAGTCTGAATAGTATTGTCTAACCAATTGCTATTTGATTATAAACGAAAATGCTGGTAAAATGTATCTTTATGAGATAAAATTTTGGGTCTTCAATTTTAAAGTGAAATTCAGATGTGTTCTGATTGAATAGACTGGTAGCAAGTATAAGGTCAGTTATTCCTAAATGTTCTTGGGGCATTGGTATATTATGCTTTATTCTATTATCTTTTTGGAAGTCTGTTAATTAAGCTCTTTTAACAATTTTTTAGTAGTTTATATTGAGTACTGGAAAAGGGATGGGTTAAAAACATAATTAACAGAACATCGGTCAATTTAGCTTATGGTCTTGAGTTTAAATTCTGGCCATGGCAGCTCAAAATTATGCATGCAAAAAAATAAATTGCTACTGTTGATTGTAAATTTATTTTGAGTGACTGAATGAACATAAAGTACAATTGTGAATATTGTTTAAAGCCACAACGGAGGTAGTAAAATTAAGTTATGTAAGATTTCACTATTTCCACACACACACACACACACACACACACACACACACACATGTAACCATGGTCATTGTTGGTGAGCATATAATATTCATGTAGTTGTTTTTGAAGGTTTATTAATTACAGTTCTGTCCATTTTTTTTTTTTTTATAATACACATTACAACTGTTTTTATTAAATATCTTCATAATTACAATTGGGTTGGGTAAATGTGTAGCATGTTCTAGCCACTTCAGGTTGACTTGACTAGTAGAGAGATTATAGTATTACTACCATTGTATAGAACTTTTTATGGTCATGTGATCATGTGCATTATACAGTAAAGATTGAAGTAAACATGAAAAAAAAATTAGTTTCTTTTCAACAGTATTAACCCAGTATCATTGATGCTGTGGTAAGGTTCTGACAACTTATAAATTTCAAGTTTAGCTGTGCAGTTTATGGAATTAAAAATTTTCACTTCAATACATTTCTTAAATAAATTATGAGTACATGTTGATACTCAGATATGTAAGTTTTGAAATAAATGTTAAAATGTTTTAAATTATCAGCACTGAAAATTTATCAACTTCTATAAAAAATAATCTTTTTACTAAAACTTAAGTCAACCAATAAGAATATTTGTATTTTTGTTATGACCTTTTGCATGCAGACATTGTATCTTATCGCTTTCTGATGCTCCTAGTTTTAATGCCAGGTGGTTAGGGTGCTTGACTTGCAGTCTGAGGGTCGTGGTTTCGAATCTCCGTCCCATCAAACGGAGCAAATGGGAGCATTATAGTGTTATGGTTAATCCCTCTATTCATTGATAAAAGAGTTGACTAGTTGCCTTCCCTCTAGTTTTTCACTGCTAAATTAGGGATGGCTAG